GGAGGAGAGAGAACAGTTATCTGGGTAACCACAAGAATGTACCAGATCAAGGAATAGTTCTAGAACAGATGAGATTGGATTAATTCATGGTCCATGCCTTTTTATTAAAATATCTTTTACTAAGTTATGGACGTTAGCAGTGCTAATTGGGAAGCACTTTAAAAGTATGGAAAAAACTAAACGTAAAACTCATGAGTATTATTGTTATCTGTGTTGCTAGACATGTCCATTTCATTTATATTAGCAAATCTGAGACACTTTAAACACTTTTAGGCATGTATTTTTTAACATAGGCAATACCTTCTTTTTAAAAATAGGTAAAATAGATTTTAAAAATAATAATGCCATTTAAAATCCTTGTTTTTTTAGTTGATCTTAATGTAAGTACACATGTCAAGGTAGTTGAGTACTTACCTAGAGAAGTATTTTCTTTTATTCAGCTGTAGAGAGGTGCCTTCTGCTTGAAGATTCAAGTCTGGTTAATTTGCTTCACTATCCCACTAGTCAGTCCTGTATTGTTTCACATACTCAATCTGAAACACTCATTGTCTCTTCACTTTAAGCTCACATCTGTCTGGCTGCTCTGACTCTTAAATACAGTTGTCTCAGCTTTGGTGCTGACTTCTGGTTTAGAAGCTAGCTCTGACTAAAACTGATGATTGACTGGATGTATATAGTGTGCTAGATTCAGTTTTCTCATGGGGACAGTGTAGCTGTTAACACCTGTCTTGCATTGTTGCATATGCATTAAATGTAAAATAATTGTGTAAAACTGAAGTCACTATTTTATTAGTACTCAATTAAACTGAGCTTGCTTTCTTGTTATAGTTGGAATTTTCAAATACATTTTCCTTGAGGAACAATTTTTACAAATTGAGTTTGTATGCAATATTAGAAATATTGATATTCCAATAAATCACCAGTTAACTATATTTTTATGGACTGGCCAGAGAATCCACTGTCTGCAATATAGATATTTTGTCATAAGAGAATGTACAGTGTCACATAAGAGTTCATTGAGTTTAGACTCTAGAAGTGAACTTATAGATTGTGATTTATTACCAGGTTGAAGATTGCTTGCAAAAACTCTCACATTAGGCGTAAAATGGAAATCCTTGATGGGTAGTTTTTCAGCATACAGATGAGCAATTCTCTCTATCTTTGGAAACTGAAACCATCTTTTTCAAGAGAACTTAATTATTCTTGCCACCAGTCAATGTAACAAGGTGTCCTAAGGTAGACCACCCAGTCATGGATGCATGCTACCAAAACAGACCAGTGTGAGTTCTTGAATTTTTTGAAAATTATAGTCTTGTACAGGAGGACTAGTAGTCCTTCTTCATAGCAGAACTGGCAGTTAAGTAGCAGAAGGCAAGCTTCAGGAGAGGAGAACAAATCTGTGGAAGCAAAGATGCCATCTTTTCCTCATGGAGTACTATTTTCATTGGGTTCTAATGCCCACCTTACTCTGTCTTTCCAGTGGCTGAGCTATTCGGAATTAATGTTGCAGCTTGCCTGTAGTGTTTCAGCTGCCATGTCTGTTGCCTGCCAGTTAAATAGCACTGACTAATTCATTTGGTTGTTTTTACTTGGAATGTTTATTTAAGAAGTCAGTGTCTTTGTCATGGGCAATTATAATAAAGCATTTAATTGTATAGCAGAACATCTGATTTATGACGTAGGTTCTTGAGAATAGTGGTTATGTTTCTTCTGATCTCTATAAAATCAGAACTGTGTTAATGCTAATCAGTAGATACTACTGGATGGAGACTTTCATGCAAACACCCCACAGCTTTTGACTTTAAAGTATTTAAACAAATACGTACCTAATTTGATTCGGGTACTTACTAGTTACTTTAAATAAATGTCCTTTGGTACCACTTATGGTTAGGAACACTTGTAGGTAGGTAAACAGGTAGGTGTTTGTGGTTAGGACACTAACATGAAGTATTTTGGCAAAATTGTCGAGTGTATGCCCCTTACATAAAAGGGAAGACGAAATGCCTTTTCCTGTGCCTGTGTTATCTGCAGGGGATCATTGTTTGGGGAATTGAGATTTTATGGGATGACAGTGTTTTGTAAACTCCACTTCCTTTTAGGAAATGAGGATTTGCTTTCTCAGTAGCATTTTGCATTGTTGGAACTTTTCTGGAAGAGTAAAAAATGCATCTGTTGCTTGAGTTCTGCTTGCCAACTGGTTTGAACAGCTATAATATTTGTTTATTCTTGATATGTCATTAGTCAAAGGAAGTTTTCCATTCTCCTTTGTGGCTGTTATATAACTTAAACATCATTCTATCAGCAACAATGACTATTTATTCAGAACCTGCCAGGCCCTGGGGGATGCAAAGCCTTAGAAACATGGTCTGCCTTGGATGGGCTTTTGCTACTTGGAGAAGGACCGAAAGGTCAGGGAACTCTAGAAGAAGGAAGATGCTAAGAATCTGTAAGTTAGCTGAGAAATAGAGGCATAAATAAGGTACTGCCAGAGGAGACCCCCAGGAATTGGGCTGCAAGCAAGGATTGCCAGAGAAAAGTGAGTGAATACACAGTAGAAAACAATGTAGGGCCCGGCGACGTGGCCTAGCAGCTAAAGTCCTCACCTTGAACATGCTGGGATCCCATATGGGCGCCTGGTTCTAATCCTGGCAGCTCCACTTACCATCCAGCTCCCTGCTTGTGGCCTGGGAAAGCAGTCGAGGATGGCCCAAAGCCTTGGGACCCTGCACCCGTGTGGGAGACCTGGAAGAGGTTCCTGGATCCTGGCTTTGGATCAGCATAGCATTGGCCATTGCGCTCACTTGGGGAGTGATTCATTGGATGGAAGATCTTCCTCTCTGTGTCTCCTCCTCTCTGTATATCTGACTTTACAATAAATAAAGAAATCTTAAAAAAAAAAAAAGAAAACAGTGTGAACTGGGCATCATCAAAAGGAAAGCATGGTGGGGGGTGGGGTACATGGAAACCAGTGGGAGATTTTGCAGAGGGCTTTTAAAATATTGGGATGGAGAAATGGAAGTCAGTGTTTGAAAGACTCCTTAGTGTGATGCAGGGGAACTATGGATTAATTGCCACTTGTTTTCTTTACTTTCTTTTTTTAATAACTGTTGAAGATCCTTTGTACCTTATGCTTTCTTTGATTTTAGGTCACAAAGGCATCCTAGAAAGGATTACCCTTTTTTAAGATTAATGAATTTGGTGTGTGTGTGTGTGTGTGTGTGTGTGTGTGTGTGTGTGTGTGTGTGTGTGAAAATGTCCTGGCTCCACTGGAAATGGTAGTGTTTTCTGAAATACCAAAAATTGTTGGAAACACCTTTCCAGTGCTTTGCGTTACCAGTAATGGAGCCTTGTAGGGAGCTCCTACTCTGAATTTTAGGCTTGGCTAAATCTTAAACAAATGACAGATGTTCCCCAATGCAGGAGAGTTCCATTTAACTTCAGTGGCTTTGACTTCAGTGGCATGAAAGCAGTTTGCATTAGCAGGAAGTGTATTTTAGATTTTGATCTTTTCATGGGCCAGCAGTATGCAGTGTAATACCTTCTCATGATCCTGGGCAGTGACAGAGAGCTGGGCCCTCCAGAGTCAGTCATGTGATGAGGAAGGTAACCAATATACTAGTGTTTTGTGTTAAGATGAGAAGTTTGAGAAGTTAAGTGTATTGCATATATTTTAGATATATTTTAGATAACTTCAATTAATGATAAAGTATTCAGAGCATAACACCACCATAAATAGAGGAGCATTTATAAGTGCTACCCTTCCCTTCCTCTACCATGTCTGAAAATATCCATTCATGTCTACACACACACACACACACTCACACACACACTTGTATTTTTCAGACTGAAGTGTTAGGAAGCTTGCCAGGTTGTTCACACTTCATATCTACATGAGTTTTATGTAGGCTTCTCCTATAAAAGAGCTGCTTTCCTTGTTGTAGCAGTCACTCATATTATTTATCCCATATAATTAGTTGTAATAATCTTAACAAAGTCAATGCTCTTAAACACATTAATTTATGTGAATGAAGCAAATTGCTTTCCTTTTGATCTCCATTATTAAATTACAGCTCTTTTAACTGAGAGAGGAGAGGTTTATGACATGATGGCACACTGGACTTTGACCTTTATCATATGATGGTCCTGATGTGTGGGGAGGCCTTCCAGGTGGAAGGGCAGTTAGCAGCCACTCAGCTTCTGTGACCCTGGAGTCAGAGAATGAGGCATGCCTGAACCAGGAATGGAAGAACTGGTCCAGGTGGGAAAGAAGCCTTCATATTACACTTGTTGATAATGAGTTGTCAAGAGAGAAAGGAAGGGGGCCCTGGTGTCCAAAATTTAAAGTGTCTAGGAGAGTAAGATTACCTCTATGAGGAACATGAGAGTTGAAAGGTTTGTCCCCTGTATCATTTAGCTCACAGGCCCAAGTTCACATTCTGGTTACCTACCTACCACTCAGGATAAATGTTGGTGATTGGCCTAGCTTATTTTTGTTCCTTTTGACCATAGCTTGGTCTCCCAGCTGGAGAGCTCCAGGATACTCACAAAGAATGAAGCCCTTCATTTGGTCACTGATTGTTGGAACTGGGCCTGGGAGGGGGGCCTGGGCTTCTGCTGCAGTGTTCTTGCCACACTGGGGGCTGCTCTGGAGAAAGTAGCATTTTAGGAAAGGCTTCAGTCTTGCTCTGTGCCTTATTCTTGGTTGATGAGTGTTTGAAAAAATATTGTGCTAAACAAATACAAGAAAATTAAATTTGAGCTCTCCTTCAAATATTTTGTAACTTGAGAAAAGTTTCTCTTTGCTTGTGGAAACTACCAGCAGTATTAAGCAATTCATTTCTTAATGAACCCTCAGCAATAAGCAGTTGTGTCATCCTCTATAACTTGTTAATTCCATACTACTTAGTTCCTTTTAAATATTTCTATTCCAAAAATAATGTTAAGGGCACAATGATCCAGATAAAATAGTTACAAAGTCACCCTTACTTTGAAAAAAAAAAATTGGCTTAACTATGGGCTTATGCTACTAATAAAATTTCCATTGCATAATAACATCAAGTCTAGAAAACCTAAACCCAAAACTTCTTAGTTTTCTTGCCAAAGGACAGACACTAGCGAATAGAAAAGAAACAGTTTGCTTTTAACATTTGCATTCTATATGTCCAGCATGGTGCTAACACTTTGCTCGTATGGTTACATAGGATTAGATTTAGGCAGCTTATTCCACCTCTTTGCGGATATTGAACTTGAACAAGGTCGTACAAAAAGTGTCAGAGGTCAGATCCCACACTTTGCACTGAAATCCCTAACTAACTCCAGAACTTTACCAACATAATCTAAACAGACATCCACTGATCACATATCATTAGCAAAATTAATCCTTGTTTCCTAAGGGATCTTAAAAGACAGCCTATGATTTTCTGGGAGTTACAGTGAAATTGTTAAAGGCTTAACGAAGGGGGGGAAAAAGGCTGTAAAAAGCTGCTAAGTCTGATATAAATCAAGCAAGGAAAGTTCCGCCCTAGCCCACAGTGAACGTGCTTATTGGTTAAGACGGAACAAGCTGACTCATTTCTTTTTTGCCGCGGCAGAGGGCCACACCCTGCATTCCAAAAAGCCTAGGCTGCCCGGCCACACCCGCGGCCTCCCTGCTGGAGCCTCGGAGTTTGGAGTTAGCGTTGCAGCTCGCGCCGCTCGTCCGAAAGCAGCTCTGCGCGTCCTCCCGCCGTTCGGTCCCCGGGCCCGGGCGCCGGCGAGCGCGCCGCGGTCACAACGCGCGGGCCTGGAGGGTCGGCGCGCGGCGCCGCTGCTGTCTGCCCTGCGGTCTGTGCTGGAGCAGGCGGAACGCGCCGGAGCTGCACGCAACTTCTAGTCCCGGCAACTTTCGGGAGGAGGCAAAGCTTCTGGAGACAGGAGACTGTAAGTTTTGCTCCTTCTGGGATGCTGTGGCTCATTAAAATGCTCTCGGGGAAGGCACTCAGACTGTGGGACCTGACAGAAAGAACCGTTCCTCCCTTCCAGAAAATAGCCCTATCCCAGTCAGAGCTGTATTTTCTCCAGGAAAGCGAAAGGAACTTCACTTTTGAACGACATCCCACCTAACGACAGAGTAGGCAGGGACGATTTACACCTGAGAAAGCCCTACGCAGGTGCTGCCCAAGATGGGACCATGCATACAAGTGTTGGGAAATGCTGACTGTTGTGGTCTTTCCTCCAGGGATCAGGTTTGATGTTGCCTGCTTTCCATATGGAGGTTTTGAGAGAATGGGCTTGTATTTATAGTTTGGTGGTTTAAAGTTTTGGGGGCTCCTTGCCGTCTTCAAATGCGGACTCTGTGGAGGATGGTTCCGCTAACTTCTCTGGCTGCTTAGAAGCTAGCTGGTAAGAGAGTTTGGTATCAAGAGCCAGAGGAAGCACGTGCTTCCCTTGTTTTGTAGTGAGTAGGGTAATATGTTCTTGTGCTTTCTGTTGAGGGTGCTTAGGTAAATGCTCTTTTGGAATTTGTGAAAATAAATATATGAAAGAAAAAGGCATGGCATCTGCCCCCCCCCCCCCATTTCTCTTGCTATGGGTAGTTTTACTTAAATTGTACTCAAATAGGGTTCAGGAGCCCTAACGTCTTTTCCCCTCAGTGCCACGAATGATTCCACTTTTGTCTCATTAAGTACACTATCACTTTCAGATTATATACAAAGAAACTGAGCTGCTTTGAAAAACCTGCTTTTCTATGCAAGAAATTGGCAAGTGCATCTGTACAGCACAGGTAACTTTGCAAATGTTGGGGACTAGGGTATGAGGAGAGCAGACCTGTAATATGATCTTGTCACAGTGTGACAGAGACATGCCTATCACTAGAAACCTAGATGGTGTGTGAAAAGGCAGGCTGAAGTTGTCCTGGTAGAGTAAAAGGTGATGGAAAATTGTCTGTGGAATGATAAATTTATGAGTATGAATTAGCAAGTTATGAGTGGTATCACGATTGCGTGTTTGAAACCACAGCCTGATGCAATCCATATGCAGACAGTCATGGAGAGAGGCAGAAAAGTCTTTCCCACTGCCTTCTTTTCTTTTCTCTTCTCTTCTTTTCTTTCTTTTTAGGGTCATGTGGGAAACTTCTAGAAAAAATAACATCTAAATGGAATAATTAAAATGCTGGAAACTTGAGTTTACTGCCATTGCCTCCTGGGAACAGTTTTCAAGCCCATGGGCTAATTGTTACGCTCAGTTGCTTTGCGTTTACCTGATTAAGTGCCTCTGTGAAAGGTGATTACCTGAAATTCTCTTCCTTGTAAGAAACAAAGGGAAGAGGCCTGAAAGCCTGTGTTCTCAAGTTCATGGGGCAGTTGGACAAGCCCCCACAGGTGGTGAGAATAGGAAAATATATCAAGTCATCTAAGATATCCAAAATCTGAAAACATAATTGAGTTGGAGTTTGATGAATTTTACCAATTGTGACAAAGCTGAGCGTTTCAGTATCTCCATTTCTCAGACACTGAAATTCTTTTCATCTATCAATTCATGTAGTTTTTGCCAGTATTAGAAAGTGGAGGTATTATCCTGTCTTACAGGGAAAGAGTCTCAGGTTACATAATGTGCTCTAAATTTCACAGCTAGTTTACGTTAGAAGTTAGCGCTTAAAGGTTGTTACTTTTCCCGTGTGGCTTCAGTCACTCCTAAAATAGCGTTAATTTTTCTGTGTGAAATGATCCAGAGGACGTTCTTGGTTCAGAGAATGCATCTGAGTGATTCAGGAGCTCCTTATTATTACAGTGCCAAAATATCAAAGTTCAAGGAATGATATGTTTACTTTGGAACCTCTTGGTTTTCAAATATTAACTGAGCAAGTCCGCCTCTTGATGAGCCAGTTGACACATGTGGCTGCTTTGGAGTTGCCAACCTTTCTGTTTACTCTGTTGCTTTCTGCCTGAATCAAATTGTATTCTTCCTCCTCCCATGAAGTACAGCTCAGACTTTATCGCTGGAAAACCCAGAGCGGGATGAAACCGTGGGTCTGTAGTGGCTGAATCTTGTGTCAGCACAGCCCTCTCATGGTTTATATATACTGCGTGAACTGTTCTTAAATTTTTGTTAGCACTGAGGTTGGTGTTTAATCCTTTTTAAAAAAACTTGGTGACTTCATGAAAGGCACACTGTGAGTGCTAAAACTTTACCTATTCAAAGGAGTTGGGAAAGTTTGAGCATATCTCACTATGGGCAGCCAGTTTTGGCCAACCATCTGCTATATGTCAGAATGCAAGAGAACAACAACCCCTTCATAGAAGACCATCTACTCCAGCATCTCTTCTGGGCCTGGGGCTTTCTTACAGTCCCATCTTGCTCTCACCATCTAGTTGACACAAAGTACCCCCAGTTTGCCAGGTGGAACAAGGATGCTGCAGCTGCCTGCTTTATCTCTAAATCATGGCTTCTTTTAGTTACTTAAATTCCTGAGGATGTTGAAAGAACATGCCAATGTTATGATACACCGCTTGGGAACGATCTTGGAAAAATCATGGGGGGAATTGTGCTAGGAGATTCAATTTTCAAAACTGGGAAAATATTAGATTCTGAAACTTTGCAATTCAGAGCTTATGATGGTGTCTAGCAGAATTATAAATCACACTTCTGAAAAGATGGATGTGAATCAGTCAGGAGAAAGTGTTGGTGTTCCACAACTAGAATGTTTGTTGAAGATCGCTCATGCCAGGTAACCTAGACAAGGATACCAGGGCATCACTTTAACCAGAATGGCTCTGTCTTCATGAGATTTTAACCAAGGCCTATGCAAATTCTTTACTCAAGACGGAAAATATGGGGCTGGCATTGTAGCTCAGTAAGCAAATCTTTGCTTGCAACCCAAGCATCTCATATCGTAGTATGGTTCAGGTCCTAACTATTCTGGTTCTGACCCAGCTCCCCACTAGTGTATCTGGGAAAACACATTCATCTGTCACACTTTGCAGTGCCACAACAGTGTGGGCAAGTTACTTGAATATTATTTGCCTCTGTTTCTGCATTTATAAAATGCAGAGAAGTCATGCCTACTTTATAAGCCTGTTGAAGATGTTGAAAAATCAATCAGTTCAAAATGAGTTACAATATTGAATAGAGTGTTATTTTTCCTTTTTTGTTTTATTGATTTTACTACTTCAACACTTCTCGAGGCAATATTGTGCATATTACTGAATTTGAGTCTAAATATCTGGCCAGCATAGGCTTGTCAAGTTTGGAGGAGGATCTAGATAAAAAATGCTGTTTGGATATTGATTCAGACATAGTGAGCATGCTTATGTTTGTGCAGAAACTGAGACAGTATTTAATGTTCTCCACATAGTGAAATAGATGGTCATATTCTGAATTCTGTGCATTTCGTTCATTTCCACAAGTGCTTCCTCTTGGGGCACTGTGGTGTGTTGTCAGGGACCTCTCCACTCAACAAAGATTTGGCAGAGCTGTTTCCTGGAGTTACTACAGTCCTAAGTTATATGTTCTTGGGTATTTGAGCTCACACTGTAATTTATCATTGAGTGTTGTTTTACTCTCTGTACCAGTATTTGGGCACATTGATTGTCATAGCTGAGACCAGGGTGTTATGCTACTGTCATTTAGTGGGTTAAAGCAAGGGATACTGCTTCCTTAGAAAACAAAAACTTGGAAGGATAGAGACAGAGTCAGGCAGCCAGTGATCTTCTGCCCAGGGTGCTTTTCAACAGCTCTGCAGTGCACAGGACAGTCTCCACAACAAAGAATTGTCCTCTGAAAAGTGTCCTGAGCATTGCAGTTGAGAAATCCCCTGGCTTTTAAAGTTCAGTATTACATTTCTCTGAGACTTTTGGATGTTTATCTGTGCTTAAGATGTATTGCAGAGTAGCTTTATGAGTTATGTTAATGAAAGCACTTTTGAGGGTAATGTATTCTGAAATATATACATGTATACAGCATACTCATTTTATCAACAGCAGCATGCCAAAATATCATTTGCTCCACTCCCTGGAGGAATGCACTACAGTGATTTGGTAGTCTGATAAACCTGTGCTCCCATTTACTCCTACCAATTTCACCTGCTTTGGGGCACATTTTTATCTGTGAAAACCAAATGCTTGCTTCGTGCACTTTAGAGGAATATATTGATATGTCCTACCATAATCCTGGAGCACAGTAATAAATTATAATATTTCTTAACATTATATTCTTTCAGAGGTTAATGAAATTGGGCAGTGTTTATTAAAATGTTTTGAGAAAAGCTGATAAGGAAATAGGATTTTAGTGATTATGAGTTGAAAAGTGAAAAGATTGTTGTATTCAGAAGCAGATAAAATCTCAGAAGAGATAAATGTCTTTGGAATTGTTACTTTGACCTTGGTGGACCAGAATGAACGGTATCTGGTAAAAAGCACTATTGGATCACTTCTTGGTCTTTTGGCTGAGATCAAGTGTAGAAGCACTATTGGAAATGCTGTGCAGAAAACAAAAAATATATGTTTCATATTAGTTTGGAACTAGCTGAGAATATAACTTCAGTGTTTGTGAATTGCCTCCACTGTAAATTTTAGATAAAAGTTTATATTGTTTTTGATCTGCATCATTCTGCTTTTATTTCACTCTCGATATTATTGTTTCTTTAATCCATTTTCCAGCGCTTTAAGGAATAAAACACTCAACCAATGGATATGCAAATATATTGATTTTGTTGTCTTAGTGATTTTCTGTTCCCAGCACTGCCTCTGTGCACTGTATCTTGATGATTATGTCTGCATGTATTTCAGCTGTGGAGGTTGGATTATGGAGGTCCACTGTGTTCCTCTTTCTGTTACAACTCACAGCAGTGTACGGCTTGTCCAGAGGATCAGTTGACAGTTCATGTTAGCGACTTAGACTTTCTGTGTGGGTATGATTGGGTTTTTGGATACTCGGCTAGT